GATCAGGTCGGGCTCAGTTATCCGGGATCAGGTCGGGCTCAGTCATTCAGGTTCAGGTCAGGTTCAGTCATTCGGGTTCAGGTCAGGTTCAGTCATTCGGGTTCAGGTCAGGTTCAGTCATTCGGGTTTAGGTCGGGTTCAGTCATTCAGGTTTAGGTCAGGTTCAGTCATTTGGGTTCAGGTCAGGTTCAATCATTCGGGTTCAGGTCAGGTTCAGTCATTTGGGTTCAGGTCAGGTTTAGTCATTCAGGTTCAGGCAGTCGGACTTAGTTGTCCGGGTTCAGGTCCGGTTGCTGCGGTTTCTAAGCTTGCGTCGTAGCAGCTCAATCTGGGATGTATTCTGTGCTTCATATTCAGCGAGAGCTGCTGTCTCGAGTAAGGCTTCTTCAGGTTCCCAGGTGTTGTCGTCCGGGTTGTCATATCCACGCCATTTGACCAGGAACTGTAGTTGGCGGCGGTGGATTCGGGCGTCGAGGATCCGTTCAATCAGGTATTCGTCTTCTCCATCAACCTCAATTGGGGGTGGAGGCTCCTACTGCTGACCAGGCAGCGGTTTGTAGTCGGTAGCTGGCATTAGGTTTGATATATTCACCACAGGCCATATACGCACTGAGCTAGGTAGCTTTAACTTGTATGCGTAAGGTGACACTTTCCTTTCAATCTCATATGGGCCTGCATTCTTCCAGTCCAGTTTCTTAGTTGGGCGGTGGCTGCGCATATTCTTCAAGTTCAGCCAAACCAGGTCGCCCACTTGGTAGTTAGGCCCTATTTGTCTGTTGCGATCGGCTTTCTCTGCATAGACAGCTTGGGCCCAGGCCATTTCATCGTAGAGGTGTTGGTTCAGGTCCTGCATCCGGCTTACAAAGCGGTCAACGTCACTCGCTGCTAGGGACTGTGGGTGGTCAGATGGTGGTTCAAAACCCATCCGTGGGTGTTGGCCAGTGTTTGCCAGGAATGGTGTTGCTCCTGTCGTTTCGTTTCGGCTGTTGTTAGCCGCGAATTCTGCCATGGGCAGCCAGTCATCCCAATCGTCTTGCATGTAGTTTACAAAGCTGCGGAGGTACTGCTCCATTTCACCATTAGCGCGTTCGGTCTGACCATCTGTTTCAGGGTGGTAGGCAGTTGATAGTCGGGCGTCAATATGGAGGCGTTTGCATAAGTGCCTCCAAAAGAGCGACACAAATGTGCTCCCCCGGTCCGATACAATCGTGTCAGGCAAACCATGGAGTTTCCACACGTGGCGGAGGAATAATTGGGCCACTGCGGGTGCTGAGATCTCTGAGCATCCGATGAAGTGTCGTTGCTTAGACAAGCGGTCTACTACCACCATGATGTTCGTGTTGCCGTTAGAGGCAGGCAGCTCAACCACGAAGTCGACTGAAATGTCTCGCCAGCGCCGTTCAGGTACGGGCAAGGGCTTCAACACGCCGGTATAGGCAGTTCTCCAGGCCTTTGCTCGGGAGCAGATATGGCAGGAGGCGACGAAGCGTCTTACTGACTCGTACATCTTAGGCCAGTGATAATTACGGGACAGGAGTTCAAGCGTCCGAGAGCGGCCAGGGTGGCCCCCAACTGGTGAGTCGTGCACAAATCGGAGTAGCTTGATCTTCAGTTCATCATCATCGGGAATCACCATTCGGCCTCTGTAATAGAGCCGGTCGTTGATGACCTCGCACTCCGCCAAGGTAATCAGTTTTGATTTGCGTACGCTATCGCGGAGTTGGCGACGGACTTCAGCAATAAACTCGTCCTTGGGGTACTCTTCTTCAATGATTTGCTCAATTGATCTGTTCGTTTCTACTAGGCTAAAGTCAAATATCTCGGGTCGTAGTAACGTTTGTTGCCGGAGGCGGCGAGCTTCCTCTTGGGCGGGCTGGTCTTGCGAGCGTCGGGTTAGGGCATCCGGCTTTTGTCCCTGGGTGCCCGGTCGGTATGTGATCTTGAAGTTGAAACGTGATAGGTACTCTGACCAGCGAGCCTGTCGGTGGCTAAGTTGCTTCGTGGTGCAGAAATATTGCAGGTTCTTGTGGTCGCTTAGTACTTTTATGGGGTGTACTGCTCCCTCCAGTTCGGGTCGCCATTGTTCAAAGCATCGGATGATAGCCAGCAACTCCTTATCATAAATCTCATAGTTGCATTCGGCCGGACTCAGCCTTCTCGAGAAGTAAGCGACAGGGCGAAGGACTCCTTCATTGTCCTCTTGCGACAGCACTCCTCCCGAGCAGTAGTCGGAGGAGTCCGCCTCCACTACACAGGGTAGCGAGGGGTCGAAGTGTCGCAAGATAGGTGCGGTTGTAAAAGCTGTCTTCAGGTGGTCGAACGCCTTCTGGCAGGCGGTTGTCCAGAGAAAGGGGGAGTCCTTTCGAGTGAGCTGTGTAAGGGGGGCAGCTAGCGTCGAGAAATTATCGATGAAGCGGCGGTAGAAGTTTGCAAAGCCTAAGAACCCACGAACGTCCTTAACGTTTCGGGGTGCCTCCCAGTTCAGAATGGCGGAGACCTTCTCAGGGTCCATTTTGATGCCATTGGTGGTCAGTATCAGACCAAGGTATTTCACTTCCTGTTAGTGAAACTCGCATTTATCAATATCGAGTTGGAGGCCGGCAGCCTCTAGTGCTTTTAGCACCTGTCGTACGTGCTCCTTGTGTTCTTTCAAGCTGTTGCTGTATATGAGGATATCATCAATATACGCGGTACAGAAAATGTCTAAGAACGGGCGCAGGACATCGTTTACATAGTGTTGGAACGTGCTAGGAGCATTTGCAAGGCCGAAGGGCATCACCAGGTATTCAAAGAGGCCTTCACGAGTGCGGAAGGCCGTCAAGTACTCATGGCCAGGTGCGATTCGGATTCGGTTGAAAGCTGAGATAATATCCAGCTTAGTAAAGTATTTTGCTTTACTAAGACAGTTCAGTGTCTCTTGGACCAGAGGGATCGGGTAACGGTTCTTGACTGTGATCTCGTTGAGTTTTCGGTAATCAACGCAGAATCGGAGGCCTCCTCCTGGCTTCTTTACAAAGATTACTGGGGAGGACACAGGCGATGAGCTGGGTCGGATGAATCCTTTAGCAAGGTTCTCAGTCAGGTATTTGCGCAGGGCTAGGAGCTCATGGTGCGACATTGCATAAAGTGGTCCGTAGGTAGGCTTGGCTCCAGGGATTAGTTCGATTCGGTGGTCATACAGGCGATGTTCCGGGAGTTCATCTGCCTTTTTTCGGGAAAACAAGTCCAAGAAGTCCCAGTAGTCACGTGGCAGTTTCGCCTTCGGGTCAGTATGCTTCTTATCTAAGAGTGCCTTTTCGACATCGGCTAGTGAGACTGCAAAGATTTCCACGCCGCGTTTCCTTGAGAGCCGGTAAAAGGGGGCTGCGCCAATTGCGCAGATATCCATCGTGGTATCGGAGGGGGAGCTCTCCTCTAGACCTTGGTCGTCCACAGGAGGGGGCTCATCTGGCGGGTCGGGTGCTCGGGCGATAAACTGCATTGCCTACAATTCGCGTTTCCAATCATCCCATCGGGATGGGGTGCTAGGGCGGTTCGGCGAAGCCTTCGCCGAACCCCTTTTGGGGGCGGTTTGGAAGCCATCAGGTTCGGGTGGTTCTGGTTGTTGTTTGTCTATGAAGTGGTTGCAGCATATCGGGGCTGTGAACTGTAGCTTATTGCGTTCATAATCCACTTGCACGCGGTGCTCAAAGTTCCAGGGCTGGCCGAGGATAAGGTCGTGCTTACCCAGGGTTGTCAGGTAGAAGGTAATCACTTCGCAGTGATTATCGACAGTCATCTGGAGAGTTACTGAGTGGGTGACCCTCGCAGTGACGGTTCGGGATCCATCGAAGGCATTCAGGTCAATATATTGATTCAGTCTCGTTCGTCTCAGGCCATGTCTAAGCGCGAAGTCGCTGCTCATGAACCCCTTTCCTGTAGCACCCGAGTCCACTATTCCGTGGGCGTTCACCTGAGTGGCGCCCTGCTTTAGTGTTCCTGAAATAGTGATTCGGTGCTTCCAGTCCTTCAGGGAGTTCAGTTCAGTGAGGTTCACAAACAGCGACACAGGGCGCGGTCCCAGAGCGCGACTTAGTTCTGGGACCGTCCTTTTGACCGGTCGGACCCTCTAGATGAGGCGGAGCTAGATCGGGAGTTCGGGCGAGAATCGCGAGCGCGGCGGGGGCTGTCGCGGCGGGCTGGCGAACGGGTGCGTGAGGAGACCGCATTGACGCTCCTAGAGCGTTTGGAGCCTTCAGGGCGGTTCGGGAGGGAAGCCTTACAATTGGGCGAGATGTGCTTATCGGAGCCACACTTATAGCATAGTCCTTCTCGGCGGCGGCGTTCTCGTTCATCCGAGCCTGCCGGGGCGTAGCCTAAGACATCCACATCCATGGCGTCAGGGTGTCGGCGGGGCTGGGCTGGTTGCTTCGGGGCGGAGCGGGAGTTGCTGTTGATGAAGCGCAACTGCTCGTCAATCCTGGCTACCAGGTTCACATAATCAGTTAGGTGTTCCGGTTCAGGTTGGGTGATCATTAGGCGCTGTAGTTCTGGACTGATAGCGCCCTTCAGGAGCATGTACTGTGCCCCTTCCGCAGCACCTGCTTTACTCGCCAAGGTCCTGAATTCTGTAAAAAAAAGGGGCGATTCCCTTGACGAAGGTCGCGCAGCTTTAGTTCAGCATTAACGCGCTCATTTGGGTCCCCATATTGTTTGTCGAGCCAAGAGATCAGTGATTGCAGGGTCGGGAAATCATGGCCAAGGCGGCCCAGCGTGATTGCTGGTTCCCCAGAAATGCGAGAGCGTGTATAGGTTAATTTAGCCGTTTCACTGGGATAACGGTCGGAATTGCCCGAGAGCTTGTTCATCAGAGCTGCTTTCCATTCGGCGAGCTGGCTACGTTTGCCAGTGAGCTCGGAGATATCTGGGAGTCTTTCTGACAATTGGGTTCGGGTCACCAGGAGCTCTTTCTGCAGGGCAGGCCCAGAGCCGTTTGTAGGCTCGGTGGGTGTATCCGTTTGTTATAGGTCGCCAGTATTAGGCGCAGTATAGGTGGTGCCAGGGGGAGAGCCAGGAGGTGATTTAAGGGCGGCTATCTCTTCACTTAGAGTAAATACCACCTGGTTCTGTCGCGCCAGAGCTTCTTGCAGGGCGGTCATTTGCACCTGCATAGCACGGATAATCGTTTCCAGTTCTGTTGTCATGGCTGTTAAAAATGGTAGGTGCAACGTAGTGTCACGAAACTGATAGAAGAGATCTGCTCAAGTGTCACGTGAAGTGAAATAATGAGATTCGTCGTCTGTCTACTTAGATCGTGCGGTACAGGTGTAGTACCAAGGTCAAGACGTTGCACAAGAGAGAGAGTATCTAAGAGTGACTCATGCTTAAATACACAGAGGGAAAGGGTAAGGCTTATCTGCCTTGCCTAATTCAGGCTCAGTCCTCCAATATCGGATATATATTAGCTGAGCTATATTAGCCAATATTAAGTTATGTTGGCTAACATCGAGTTATGTTGGCTAGTGTTAGCCAACATCCGGTCTGGTAAGGCAACAGAATGGTGCCTATCACGTGTCATGGGGAAGACCCTGTGATAGTACCCCCCTCCTAGCCGGCGAAGCCTCTAAGGAGGAGTCTGGGGAGGGATATCGAGGTTCCGGGCTCGGGTGTGCGGGTGTGGTTGTTCGGGATCAGGTCGGGCTCAGTTATCCGGGTTCAGGTCGGGCTCAGTCATTCAGGTTCAGGTCAGGTTCAGTTATTCAGGTTCAGGTCAGGCTGAGTTATTCGGGTTCAGGTCAGGTTCAGTCATTTAGGTTCAGGTTAGGCTGAGTTATTCGGGTTCAGGTCAGGTTCAGTTATTCAAGTTCAGGTCAGGTTCAGTTATTCAGGTTCAGGTTAGGCTGAGTTATTCGGGTTCAGGTCCGGTTACTGCGGTTTCTAAGCTTGCGTCAAAGTAGCTTAGTTTAAGATATATTCTGTGCTTCATATTCAGCGAGAGCTGCTGTCTCGAGTAAGGCTTCTTCAGGTTCCCAGGTGTTGTCATCTGGGTTGTCATATCCACGCCATTTGACCAGGAACTGTAGTTGGCGGCGGTGGATTCGGGCGTTGAGGATCCAATCAATCAGGTATTTGTCTTCTCTATTAACCTCAATTGGGGGTGGAGGCTCCTGCTGCTAACTAGGCAGTGGTTTGTAGTTGGTAGCTGGCATCAGGTTTAATATATTCACCACAGGCCATATACGCACTGAGCTAGGTAGCTTTAACTTGTATGTGTAAGGTGACACTTTCCTTTCAATCTCATATGGGCCTGCATTCTTCCAGTCCAGTTTCTTAGTTGGGTGGTGGCTGCGCATATTCTTCAAGTTCAGCCAAACCAGGTCGCCTACTTGGTAGTTAGGCCCTATTTGTCTGTTGCGATCGGCTTTCTCTACATAGACAGCTTGGGCCCAGGCCATTTTATTGTAGAGGTGTTGGTTCAGGTCCTGTATCTGGCTTACAAAGCGGTCAACATCACTCACTGCTAGAGACTGTGGGTGGTCAGATGGTGGTTCAAAACCCATCCGTGGGTGTTGGCCAGTGTTTGCCAGGAATGGTGTTGCTCCTGTCGTTTCATTTCGGCTGTTGTTAGCCGCGAATTCTGCCATGGGCAGCCAGTCATCCCAATCATCTTGTATGTAGTTTATAAAGCTGCGGAGGTACTGCTCTATTTCACCATTAGCGCGTTCGGTCTGACCATCTGTTTTAGGGTAGTAGTTAGTTGATAGTCGGGTGTCAATATAGAGGCGTTTGCATAAGTGCCTCCAAAAGAGTGATATAAATGTGCTCCCCCGGTCTGATACAATCGTGTCAGGCAAACCATGGAGTTTCCATATGTGTTGGAGGAATAATTAGGCTACTGCGGGTGCTGAGATCTCTGAGCATCCAATGAAGTGTCATTACTTAGATAAACGGTCTACTACTACCATGATATTCGTGTTGCCATTAGAGGCAGGCAGCTCAACCACGAAGTCGACTGAAATGTCTCGCCAGCACTGTTTAGGTACGGGCAAGGGCTTCAACACGCCGGTATAGGCAGTTCTCCAGGCCTTTGCTCAGGAGCAGATATGGCAGGAGGCGACAAAGCGTCTTACTGACTCGTACATCTTAGGCCAGTGATAATTATAGGATAGGAGTTCAAGCGTCCGAGAGTGGCTAGGGTGGCCCCTAACTAGTGAGTTGTATATAAATCAGAGTAGCTTGATCTTCAGTTCATCATCATCAGGAATCACTATTCGGCCTCTATAATAGAGCCGGTCGTTAATGACCTCGCACTCCGCTAAGGTAATCAGTTTTGATTTACATACGCCATCGCGGAGTTGGCAATGGACTTCAGCAATAAACTCATCCTTGGGGTACTCTTCTTCAATGATTTGCTCAATTGATCTATTTGTTTCTACTAGGCTAAAGTCAAATATCTTAGGTTGTAGTAACGTTTGTTACTGGAGGCGGCGAGCTTCCTCTTAGGCAGGCTGGTCTTGCGAGCGTCGGGTTAGGGCATCCGGCTTTTATCCCTGGGTGCCCGGTCAGTATATGATCTTGAAGTTGAAATGTAATAGGTACTCTGACCAGCGAGCCTGTCAGTGGCTAAGTTGCTTTATGGTGCAGAAGTATTGCAGGTTCTTGTGGTCGCTTAGTACTTTTATAGGGTGTACTGTTCCCTCTAGTTTGGGTCGCCATTATTTAAAGCATCGGATGATAGCCAGCAACTCCTTATCATAAATCTCATAGTTGCATTTAGCCGGACTCAGCCTTCTCGAGAAGTAGGCAACAGGGTAAAGGACTCCTTCATCGTCCTCTTGCGACAGCACTCCTCCCAAGCAGTAGTTGGAGGAGTCTGCCTCTACTATATAGGGTAGCGAGGGGTCGAAGTGTCGCAAGATAGGTGCAGTTGTAAAAGCTGTCTTCAGGTGGTCAAACACCTTCTAGTAGGTAGTTGTCTAGAGAAAGGGGGAGTCCTTTTGAGTGAGCTATGTAAGGGGGGCAGCTAGCGTCGAGAAATTATTGATGAAGTGGCGGTAGAAGTTTGCAAAGCCTAAGAACCCATAAATGTCCTTAATATTTCGGGGTACCTCCTAGTTCAGAATGGCGGAGACCTTCTCAGGGTCTATTTTAATGCTATTAGTGGTCAGTATCAGGCTAAGGTATTTCACTTCCTGTTGGTGAAACTCATATTTATCAATATCGAGTTGGAGGCTGGCAGCCTCTAGTGCTTTTAGCACCTGTTGTACGTGCTCCTTGTGTTCTTTCAAGCTGTTGCTGTATATGAGGATATCGTCAATATACGCAGTACAGAAAATGTCTAAGAACAGGCGCAGGATATTGTTTATATAGTATTGGAACATGCTAGGAGTATTTGCAAGGCTGAAGGGCATCACCAGGTATTTAAAGAGGCCTTCACGAGTGTGGAAGGCTGTTAAGTACTCATGGCCAGGTGCGATTCGGATTCGGTTGAAAGCTGAGATAATATTTAGCTTAGTGAAGTATTTTGCTTTACTAAGATAGTTTAGTGTCTCTTAGACCAGAGGGATCAGGTAATGGTTCTTGACTATGATCTTGTTAAGTTTTCAGTAATTAATACAGAATCAGAGGCCTCCTCCTGGCTTCTTTATAAAGATTACTGGGGAGGATATAGGTGATGAGCTGGGTCAGATGAATCCTTTAGCAAGGTTCTCAGTCAGGTATTTGCGCAGGGCTAGGAGCTCATGGTGCGACATTGCATAAAGTGGTCCGTAGGTAGGCTTGGCTCTAGGGATTAGTTTGATTTGGTGGTCATACAGGCGATATTCTAGGAGTTCATCTGCCTTTTTTTAGGAAAACAAGTCCAAGAAGTCCCAGTAGTCACGTGGCAGTTTCGCCTTCAGGTCAGTATGCTTCTTATCTAAGAGTGCCTTTTTAATATTAGCTAGTGAGACTGCAAAGATTTCCACGCCGCGTTTCCTTGAGAGCTGGTAAAAGGGGGCTGCGCCAATTGTGCAGATATCCATTGTGGTATCAGAGGGGGAGCTCTCCTCTAGACCTTAGTTGTCTATAGGAGGGGGCTTATCTGGTGGGTTGGGTGCTCGGGCGATAAACTGCATTGCCTGTAATTTGTGTTTCCAATTATCCTATTGGGATAGGGTGCTAGGGCGGTTCGGCGAAGGCTTCGCTGAACCCCTTTTAGGGGTGGTTTGGAAGCCATCATGTTCAGGTGGTTCTGGTTGTTGTTTGTCTATAAAGTGGTTGTGGTATATCAGGGCTATAAACTATAGCTTATTGCGTTTATAATCCACTTGCACACAGTGTTTAAAGTTCCAGGGCTGGCTGAGGATAAGGTTGTGCTTACCTAGGGTTGTCAGGTAGAAGGTAATTACTTTGCAGTGATTATTGACAGTCATTTCGAGAGTTACTGAGTGGGTGACCCTTATAGTGATGGTTTGGGATCTATTGAAGGCATTCAGGTCAATATATTGATTCAGTCTTGTTTGTCTCAGGCTATGTCTAAGTGCGAAGTCGCTGCTTATGAACCCCTTTCCTATAGCACCTGAGTCCACTATTCCGTGGGCGTTCACCTGAGTGGCGCCCTGCTTTAGTGTTCCTGAAATAGTGATTCAGTGCTTCTAGTCTTTTAAGGAGTTTAGTTTAGTGAGGTTCATAAACAGCGACACAGGTCACGGTCCCAGAGCGCGACTTAGTTCTGGGACCGTCCTTTTGACCAGTCAGACCCTCTAGATGAGGCAGAGCTAGATCGGGAGTTTAGGTGAGAATCGCGAGCGCGGCGGGGGCTGTCGCGGTAGGCTGGTGAACGGGTGCATAAGGAGACTGTATTGACGCTCCTAGAGTGTTTGGAGCCTTCAGGGTGGTTCAGGAGGGAAGCCTTATAATTAGGTGAGATGTGCTAATCGGAGCCATATTTATAGTATAGTCCTTCTTAGCGGCGGTGTTCTCGTTTGGCTGAGCCTGCCGGGGCGTAGCCTAAGACATCCACATCTATGGTGTCGGGGTGTCGGCAGGGCTGGGCTGGTTGCTTTAGGGCGGAGCGGGAGTTGCTGTTGATGAAGCGCAACTACTCATTAATCCTGGCTACTAGGTTCACATAATCAGTTAGGTGTTCCGGTTCAGGTTGGGTGATTATTAGGCGCTGTAGTTCTGGACTGATAGCGCCCTTTAGGAGTATGTACTGTGCCCC